GTCTGGATGAGATGACAGTATGGCAGGCAGAGCCTTAACTTACCACACCACAGCCCCATCCTCAGCCCCAGTCATGTTCATTTTTACTTATTTTTTATTTGTTTAGTGACTTCATCATATGCATTTAAAATATATTTTGTCACATATGAGGAATTTTCAAATAGTGTTTTCAGTTTATTATCAATCTAAATATTTTTATTTATTTTTGTTAATATAGAGACTAGATTTCATATATTTCATAGGTACAGTTCTAAGAAGACAGCTGTAATCCCTTCCTTCCTCTCTCCTTCCGTCAATCCCCCTTCTTCCTCTCTTCAGATATTATTTTGATCCATTTTATAATCATAGGCTTAATTCACCATAAACCATAATATCCAACAAGTAAGCAGTAGGAAGACCACAGTTCCACACAAATATAAACAAGGGCTAAAAAAACAATCAAATCGTAAGATGTCTATTTCATTCCTATACATTTTTTGTTATTCTATATTAACTACCACATATCAGATAAAACATGATATTTGTCTTTTGGGGACTGGCTTATTTCACTAAGCATCATGGTTTACAGTTGCATTCATTTTGTTGCAAAAGACAGGATTTAATTTTTGTCTATGCCTGAGTTGTATTCAATAGTGTTTATATACCACATTTTCTTTATCCAGTCTTCAGTTGGTAGACATCTTGGTTGATTGCATATCTCAACTATTGTGAATTGAGCTGTAATAAGCATGGAGGTACAAATAACTCTTTCATATGCTGATTTCATTTCATTTGGGTAAATTCCCAGGAGTGGATGGCTGGGTCATATGGTAGATTTATTTTCATATTTCTTAGGAATCTCCATACTGCCTTCCATATGGTTGTACTAGTTTACATTCCCACCAACAGTAGATTAAGATACTTTCTTCCCCACGTCCTTGCCAGCATTTATTATTATCTAACTGGAGTGAGGTGAAACCTTGTGGTTTTAATTTGCATTTCCTTGATGGCTAGTGATCCCGAGCATATTTTCATGTGTCTGTTTGCCATTTGAACTTCATCCTTTGAAAAACGTCTGTTCATTTCTTTTGCCCATTTCTTAACTGGGTGGTTTGTTTTGCAGTTGTTGAGTTTCTTGAGCTCTAAATAGATCCTGGATATTAATCTTTAATCAGTTGCATAGTTTACAAATATCATCTCCCACTCTGTGGTTGCCTCTTCACTTAGGTGAGTGTTTCTTTACAGTGCAGAATCTTCTTAGCTTAATGTAATCTGATTTGTCTATTTTTTCTTTTATTGCTTGTGCTTCTAATATCTTTTCCAAGAAGTCATTTCCTATGCCATTGTCTTGCAGAGATCCCCTGATGTTTTTCTCTGGTAATTGGGTGATATTTGGTCATAGATTTAGATCCTTGGTCCATTTATAATTGATTTTTCTATAAGGTGTTAATATAAGGGTCTTATTTCATACTTCTGCATGTGTAGGTCTGATTTTCCAAGCAGCATTTGTTGAAGACACATTCCTTTCTCAAGGAATTGATTTTCATGCATTTGTCAAAGATTAGCTAGTTGTAGCACTGTGGATTAATTTCTGGGATTTCTATTATGTTCAATTGGTCTATATCTCTATTTTTATTTCAGTACCAGGTTGTTTTGATTATAACTGACCCCATGGTGTATCTTGAGATCTGGTATTGTGATACCTTTGGCTTTGTTTCTGTTGTTTATGATTTCTTTAGCTATTCAGGGTCTCATTTTTTTTCTATATATGAGGTGAATGTCATTGGTATTTTGATAGGGATTGCATTGAATCTGTAAATTGCTTTGGGTAGAATGGACATTTTGTTGATAACAATTCTTTCAATCCAGGGACATGGAAGAGTTTCCATTTTTTTGTGTCTTCTATTTCTTTCTTTAATATTTTGAAATTTTCATTGTAGAGACTTTTCACATTCTTGTTAAATTTATTTAAATGTATTTAATGTTTTTTGTAGTTATTGTGAGTGTTAGTGATATTACAAGTTTTTTCTCAGCCATGATATTATCTTTGTATATAAAGAATGTTGATTTTTTGTGGCTTCACTTTATATCCTGCAAATGTACCATACTCTGAGTTCCAATAGTCTCTTAGTAGAGTCTATATATAGGTTCCCCTATATATAAAATTATGTCCTCTTCAGACAGGGATATTTTGACTTCCTGGTTTCCAATTTGTATCACTTCGATTTTTTCTCTTAACTGATGATTCTGGCTAAAACTGCAGGACTGTATTGATTAGCAATGGTGAGAGAGAACATCCTTCTCTGGTTCTGGGTGTTAGTGGAAACGCTTCCAACTTTTCCTGATTCTCCTTATATATATATATGGGGGGTGAGGTAGGTGTATGTTGACCTGCTGAAGGAGTTCTTAACAGTACAGAACAGAATAAAAACATTAAAAACATCTTGGAAGTGCTGAATCCTGTAAGCAAACTCCATTCCAGTCCTCTGTAAATATACCAGTAATACAGTTACTGTTCAGTATATACCATACTACGGGTATGTTATTTAGGGATGTATGTTCATCAAGTACATAGAACAGAAATTTGTATCCAGCTAAGAACATAGTTTAAAAACAAACCAGCAAATAATGGAGTTATCTGGAGACATTGTTCATTACATAACACACTCTTAATCTCTTTATATGATATGGATCAGATAGATAAAAATTTAGTGAATTTAAAGGCAATTTGAACTATGCAGATATATAAAACTTATAATTGGAAACAGTAGATTCTATTCAAATAAATATGAGAGGTATAAAAATATGATCAAAGAAACAAACAAGTAATAAATACAGAGAAACACAACTTTTGTACCATGCCTCCTGACAAAATGGGATAGCACTAGAAGTCTGCAACAAAAAAAGTAACACAAAATGTCCTCTGTTTTGAAAATAATAATATGCAATGTTAATAGCTTAATTTGTAATGAAATCCATAAATATATATATAGAGAAAGAATATAATAAGAAACATTCCTATTAGACTAATGGAAATTTTCTAAATAGTGTCAGAGTATATTCAAAGATATCATCTTGGAGAAAGTATATATATAGTACCATAACGAATGAAGCAATAAAAGTAATTTGAAAACAATGAAAATGATCCTTTAAATAGTGTCATTGCATAGACAACTGATGAGATGTATTGACATAAAATACAAGAGACTCTCATCATGTACATTCAGAATGGAAATAGTGATAAACCTATAGGAGAGATGACATCCTAGAAAATTTTAGAAAATAGATTATCTAATCCAATATACAATATTTGGAAAAATCTATTCCTCGAAAGAAAAAAAGTAAGAAAGTGGTCCAGTTCATTTAATATGCCTAAAATAACTTTCATTTCCAAAGACAAGCACATTATAAGAGAGAAAAATGAAGAACCTAACTCTATAATTCATTTCATTTATGTATTAGAAAAACTCTGTGCTCATATAGTTGCTAAAAGAACTTTGTAGAATTTAATACTTTTTCATCATCAACAACATAAGAAAAAACCCTAACACATTAAATAAATGGGACTTTTTTTAAACATGTGGAGAACCTTGGATTGGGTTGTAGAATGACCAGTACAGCACTGACTGCCGTAACTGGAAAGTGGCAACTGAAGACGCTTTAGTAGAGGATGGACTAGAAAATTAAAGCATTACTCATGCTATTAAATAGCTTAAAAATTCACAACTCTGTATAAAGTAACAAAATGTGCCGTTGTTTTTAGTGTGACCCACTCAGTGCATGAAGATGGTAGCTGTGGAGGCTATCCTGATCTGACCATCACACACTGGATACATGTATCAAATTACCACACTGCATCTCATAAATATGTGCAATTATAATCATAGTAATAAAGAAAAAACGGTGTCCACTGTGGAGCTCACTCTGCAGCCTGTGCTGCCACCTGAGTACACAGCACCAGTGAGAAGCCTGGGGACGTGAGTGTCACTAGGACACCAGAGCCCCCACAGGGCAGGGCGCTGAGGCGGGAAGCAAGGCTGCCTCTGCCTGTGTTTGGTTTTTAAGAAGACATGGAGCCAGGAGAGCGACACGTCAGCACTGGTGGTTGGAAGGCTCCCGCCTGGTGCATTTGCAGTCTGCGGTACAGTCAGCGTGTCCCGCTGGGCACTGGTACAGGACACTGCATGCTGTGTGTGGGGCGAGGTAGATGCTTTGGCTGATGGGTAACATCCACAAAACAGAGATCTACGTGTGGCTTTCCAGGGCCGTCTCTGATTGTGTCACCTCACAGTTGCTCCTCAGTGAGCAGCAAATGAAAATCAGTTACACAGAACATTCCAGAAATGCAGACTCCTGTTGGCCTTAGCTCAGCTTGTCCATCAGGCTGAATAGGGCTGGACAGGTGCTGGCCAACACACTTACTGCTCTGAGAAAGGCCTGTGAGCTTCATGGGAGTGTCAGAATGTTCTACAGGAGTCTATACCACCCTTTTTACCTTGATGCGGGTATTTCAGGTGAAGTATTTTTTTCTCAAACTAAGTAGAACCAAACCCACGGGGAGGGTCGGCCATCCAGGTGCAAGCAGGAGAGCATGCCAGGTGTGCAGTCATCCGCCCGGTGTGCGTGCTGCCACCTTGCGTTGCATTCGGGAACAACATGGACACGGCTTCTCACACTGACTCCTACTGGCTTCAAAGGAGGCTGTTTGGTGTGCGTGCCCTAGAAAGCTGTGAGAAGGACAGGCCTGGCAGTCGCAGAAGCACCTGTGTGATCTCCACGGGGATAGCTTAGCCTACACTTCACACGCTGTATCCTGGGCAGACTGCAGCAGTGCGTGCTGCGTTCTGACCGGCACAGAACTGATTTCTGTGCACCCTGATTCCCTCCCTCTTAGCTGCCAGATGCCACTGCGGCACACGCCGGGGGGCTTTGTGAAAGTGGGAATGCAGTGGACGGTCCCACCCGAGGCGGGAGGCCTGCTGACCACTAAGCACCGCTGTGTTCCTGCTCTGTCCTTGCAGCCTGCACTTCATCGTCTTTGACACCGAGATGGCACACGACATCCTCAAGGTCTGGGACGGCCCCGTGGACAGCAACATCCTGCTGAAGGAGTGGAGCGGCTCGGCCCTCCCCGGCGACATCCACAGCACCTTCAACTCCCTCACCCTGCAGTTCGACAGCGACTTCTTCATCAGCAAGTCCGGCTTCTCCATCCAGTTCTCAAGTAGGTGCACTGGCTGCCTCTCTGTCCTCACAGCTCGTCTGCATGGTGAACACAGCTCCAGTGTGTTTTATTGTTAAGGTTTATTTATTTTTTATTTGAAAGACAGATCAACAGAGTCAGGGGAGAGTCAGAGAGAGAGCGCTTGCTTTATCTTTCATCTGCTGGTTCACTCCCCAAACGGCTACCATAGTCAGAGCTGGACCAGGCTGAAACCAGGAGCCAAGAACTCCATCCAAGTCTCCCATCTGGTTGGCAGGGACCCAAGTTCATGGGCCATCGTCTACTGTTTCACAGGCACGTTAGCGGGAATAGGAGTAGAAGCAGAGCAGCCAGGACTCAAACTGGCACTCCAGTGTGGGATGCCAGGGTCACAAGCCGTGGGTTCACCTGCTGTGCCACAACCTCAGTCCCTGTGTGCTCCTGCACCGCCCCTTGGGGATGCAGTTTCTGATGGGCTAACTTGAAGGGCCAGCCTTGTGGTACAGTGGGTTGAGCCACCACCCGAGACACTCGTGTCACATATGAGCACGGTTTGAGATCTTGCTGCTTCATTTCCAGTCCACATCCCTTTTCCTGTACCTGGGAAAGTAGCAGAAAATACTCCAAGTACTTGGGCCCCTGCCACCCATGTGGAAGACCCAGGTTTAGTTCCAGGCTCCTGGCTTTGGCCTGGCCCAATCCCTGGACGCTGTGGCCACTTGGGCAGTGAGCTAGCAGATGGAGTGTCTGTGTGTATGTGTGTCCAGTTGTCTTCAAATAAACAGAGAAATATTCCATTTGAATTTTGGGAAATACATATTATAGAAGAGAAGAGGTTTCTTTCATACACTGAGCCCCTCCCATAAAAGACAGATTAGCAAGGGAAAAGGGTTAGCAAATTTGCTTGAGTTCTGCATGCATCGTGGGTCTGCAGACATGAAGACCCAAGACACAGGGCCAGTGCTTGTGTCGGTGGAGACCGTGCGGGCAGGGTGCCGGGACGTGACGGTGAGGACCTGGGGGACGGCGACCCCGTGTGGACACTGATGCTCCGGCTCTCTCCTCTCTCGTCCTCCCTGGGGTGAGGGGTGGAGTAGCTAATAGCACGGTCTCCCCTGCTGAAGCACGGTGGCGCCCTTGCACGGTCATCTCCCTGGTCCCTGCTGTCTAGTCGGTTTTCAGTTAATGGTTTCCTGAAAAGGAGGAGTGGGGAGGTTGTGCAGCTGTTCGGATCTACCACGGGAGGAGCCACGTGCTTGGGGCACGAGGTCAGCCACCTTCCTGAAAACAGCCGAATTTGGACGTGCACACACTCAGACTCCCTGTAGCTCCTGGCAGGCCACTGGTGAGCCACATTTAGGATTTGCGTAGGAATAGCTTCGGTCAATTCGAAAGGTTGCTAATAGAATGGAGGGTGTGGTCTGCCAGCTTCCTCGTCCTGTGGTTGCCATGCCGAGCGTGGCTCTTGCATCACATGTAAGTGAACACTTAGCTTTCTTCTTGGCCTTTATCCTCGCCTTTTAAAATCCATAGAAACACAAAGTCACTTCTGACCCGTATTCCGTCCTGATTCTCTCTTTTCAGAGGAAATCTCCCTAATTTAGGTAGAACAGTGAGGTCCTCTATTGTAATGATTTCAGGATGGCCCGTTTGCTCCAGGCAGTTAATACATCACCATAGGGACGGGAACGCCCGTAAACTCCCTGCAGAGGTGAAGCCGGGCTCCTTCACTTGGTCTCCTCTGCATCCCAGTTTGAACACCGTGAAGCTGCCATTGTTTGGATTAAGCACTCACGCCGGCCGTTGCGTGTGGCTTAACACAGCATTTGGCTGTCGTCCCACTGCCCCTGTTACTAGCTAATAGATCCTCAAATCTAGCATGTAATTTGGTAAAGGCCATTTTAAGGGTAAAAACATGCCTGCTCTCAGTTTTTTGGCAAATGAGTTCCTGCAATAGGGTCTTTAGACTCTGACAGAAGGGAAAACACAAGATACGAAAACTTCGAATGGTATTTATGAACGTGCAGAGCCGGGACATGACCCAGGCAATTTCAGCCTCTCATAAGTTGACCTTCCGTGTCTGTCCTCAGTACTTTATTTCTTGAAAATGTGTTTATATTATTTACTTAAAAGGCAGTTACAGAAGAACAGAGAGAGGGAGAAGGAGGGAGACACACAGAGAGAGTGAGCGCTTCCATCTGCTGGTTCATTGGTCAAATGGCCACAACAGCCAGGGCTGGGCCACGCTGAAGCCATGAGCCAGGACCTCCACCCGGTCTCCCATGTGGGCACAGGGGCCTGAGAACTTCGGGTGAACTCTCTGCTTCCCCAGGGAAATTAGCAGGGCACTGCATCAGAAATGGTGCAGCGAGAACTCAAATTGTGGCAGCTTAAACTGCTGCACCTACTGCACCGCAAGGCGGCCCCGCGGTTACTTGAACTCCATTGACTCTATTCTCTCTCTCTTTTTTTTTTTTTGACAGGCAGAGTGGACAGTGAGAGAGAGAGACAGAGAGAAAGGTCTTCCTTTGCCGTTGGTTCACCCTCCAATGGCCGCCGCGGCTGGCGCGCTGCGGCTGGCACACTGCGCTGATCCGATGGCAGGTGCCAGGTATTTATCCTGGTCTCCCATGGGGTGCAGGGCCCAAGCACTTGGGCCATCCTCCACTGCACTCCCGGGCCACAGCAGAGAGCTGGCCTGGAAGAGGGGCAACCGGGACAGAATCCGGCACCCCGACTAGGACTAGAACTCGGTGTGCCGGCGCTGCAAGGCAGAGGATTAGCCTAGTGAGCCGCGGCGCCGGCCAACTCTGTTCTCTTTATTGGTATCACGTTAACGTGGAAACATTCTTACCATTTCATAATTGTACATATTTGCGGAGTGGGCTTTATTAAATGTAGACCTTGTGCACTGACCATTCAGGAAAAAGGAAAGGTAAAAATAATGTTTCCATCCCAAGTACATTTCCTTTTCTGAAGCTCTTTGTTCCCTCATTCCCTGTCACGTGTTTTCCTTTCCATGGCTGGAGAGGGTGATCCGCGTGGTCCCTGCTCCTGTGGGTGCTCCGGCAGGAGACGAGGAGGGCCCTGTCTGCCTCCCCTCCGTTTGCCGGCACTCGCCGAGCCCTGCAGTCCCCTCTCTCCTGCTTGGCTCACAGGGCCTCATCCAGGCAAAGCCTTGGGAATTTCTGCCGTCACAGAAGCACAGCTCCCCTTGGGTCTCTACACCCAACCTTCACAAAGACACTTGTTAGAGTCCAGCTGAAAGGGTGCCACCTGCTCCAAGCTGGCCCTGAATAAAACAGCCCCGTGGAGCACCGGATTCTGTCCCAGTTGCCCCTCTTCCAGGCCAGCTCTCTGCTGTGGCCAGGGAGTGCAGTGGAGGATGGGCCCAAGTGCTTGGACCCTGCACCCCATGGGAGACCAGGAGAGGCATCTGGCTCCTGCCTTCGGATCAGCGTGGTGCGCCGGCCATAGTGTGCAGGCTGCGGCGGCCATTGGAGGGTGAACCAACGGCAAAAGGAGGACCTTTCTCTCTGTTTCTCTCTCTCACTGTCCACTCTGCCTGTAAAACAAAAAACAAAAACAAAACAAAAAAAAAAAACAGCCCTGTGGAGAGCAGGACTGTGAGTGGGTGTGAGTCACTCGACTCTAACCTGTCCCGTGGTGGCTTTGCCACACTGGATCTCCTGGGAAACCCGGGTGAGGTGTGGGCGGTGAGCACAGAGGGAGCAGCGTGGGCTTCCCGCCACCGTCCCCCTCGGTGCCACTGCTCTGTGCAGCCGCAGACCTCGCCCAGCTGGTCTCTCCCTGCACCTCAGCCATAATCACAGGAAGTTTCCCCCATTAGCCCTGGCCAGGGTGCTTGGAGCCCAGCTCAGATCATCACTCACTTTCACAGGGACCATGGGCAGGGCTTTGTCTCCGGCCCCGGTCTGAACTTGATCCCTACACCTGGGTTGGGTATAGGACAGCCCCAGCATTGCCCAGGACTTCCTCGATTCTTGAAGAGCAGGTTACTGTCCATCAATCAAAATCAAGGAACTGAGGTTTCCATGTACCCTGCCTCAGTGCAGGGCGACGGGGATACACGGTCAACCTCTGTGCGGCATGGCCAGATCACAGCTTTGTGTCCACCTTCCCCCCGCCCTCCCTCATCAGAGTCCAGCCAGAACCTACCCCAAGCACAGGGCCTCCAGACCAAAGACCTGCACCCCTCAGATTGCAGGAGGCCCTGTCCAGCCCATGGAGGGTCCCTGCGCCTTCTGCGGGAGGGGTTGAAATGCCCATGCCTGTCTTTCTGACACCGGGCTAAGACACAAGGAATCTATGTCTGAGTTGGATGGCATTGCCATTCACAGGCCACACTCACGCTAGACCTCTGGGCTAGTCTCCGACTTCAAAACACCTCAAATGGGACTGAAACGGAACATTTCCCCATGTGGTGGATGCGCCCAGTGCCGCCGCTGCAGAGGCAGGAGGCCGGGTACCCGCAGCCGTCGGCTTTGCGTGGAGACCTGTGCTGACTCGCTGCTGTGCCAGTCACATGTGCGCTAAGCCTTGGCGGCAGGAAAGAACTCACCACAACGTTGGTTTCCTTAGAGACATTCAAAATACCAGATTCCCCTCCAACGGTCTTGAAAATCCGTTTTAGACCAGCGTTTACCGTCAGTGGTGATCTCGGAACTCCGTCCCCCACTGGAGCTTCCCCACTGCACGTGAACGGCTCCTCTCTGCACTTCCTGCGTCTTGCTCCGTGTCACCCTCGGCTGGTTCCCGGCCATCTCAGGCCTGCCTGTTGTAATCCCTGCTCCATGTCATTGTTCCCCGACTGTGGAGCCCAGGGGCCACGAGGGCTTCTCTTCAGCTCTCCTTCCTTTCCATCTCCACTGCTGTCCACACCGCAGGAGACGCCAGCCACCCAGTCACCGCCCCAGCATCTCTGCTTGGAGACGCAGAGCCGGAGGCTTGGCCCTCCTGTCTGCCCGCCCAGACCGCTCTTGTTGACGCCTTCCTGGTCG